TATCCAGTTGAACAAGGTGGGTCGACTGAGATTATAGGGAGATATACTGACAGAAAACTATACAAGATTAATGTAGCTGCCATTGAATGGGAACAATGCTAATTGACAATAAATCAGCATAAGTGGACTGTCTGTGCAGTATATTACTTGCAATCTTCATGATCAATTTTTTGAACATGTTTAGGACCCTCATGGGTTCAAACTTTCTATCGATAACTAAAAGAATTTTCTAGTGAAACTTACTCCCCAGATTTATTGAACTGGCTTTATGGGTAGTAAACCAAAATGTCTATACAAAAGACATGCCTGAAAAGCACTAAATTATAAATAACTATCATTTGCAACTTCTAAACCTAAACTTTCAATAACAGATTTATTATCCATAAGAAACCAGAGAAAACAATTGCCCAAATTGACACAGGATGATAAAAATGGATGGTGGTGTTACGGTAAGTAACTTTTTTAGCCGTGACCTCAAGGTCTACGCGGCTGGTTCAGGGCTCCAAATGGCTGAGATCAGACGTGGCAACCCTTGGGGTCTCGCGGTGGCCGATGCAGGGGGCCTGGCTGGAAATTTTCGTGACGCCGCTGTGGGGTCAGCTTCGGTCGAGTACCTGCACAAAGGTCGGGTCGGTAGCTCGGCCCGACCTCTCCGATGATCAAGTCAGTGATGCAGAGTGGAGTTTTTGAGTGAGATCGTCCCCCCCCTGCCCGTTGGGAGCCAGGGGGTATTTATAAGTGGGTTTGATGTTACCTGATGTGCCATCCTGCCGGAGCAGGGTCGTACCTCTGAAGGCATCTGCAGTCGTCGTGGGCGTTGCGTGGAAGGCCGAGCTGTCGCAGGGCATGGGGAGGGTCAGTCGACGCCTTCCCCTGCTTCGGCTGGTCATGAGGGGTCAGCCGATGAGGTCGTTTGGGTACGGTGGGTTCGGGTGTACGTTACGTCGGTGTTAATGCTCGCTCCCTGGGGTAGTGTGCCGCACAGGGGTGTCTGACGTGAGGGGTGTATTACGTCAAATCTGGTGTGTTATGTCAAATCCGATTTTACCCCTATCAGGTGGCATCAAAATTTGTTGTATGACTGTCAAGTGCCCTTTCAGCTTAATATAATCTTCAGAAGATATTTGAAACATTATTTTTTTGTTTCTAAACACAAGAAAATTAGTAAACCACATACTGAAGAAGTGAACAAAAACAATAAGCTGCAATGCACATTTAGTCTTCCACTGTAGCTGGATGATTTCGTTCAATGACATCTTTTTCCGACCGCTTATCGGAATGAACTGCTGTTTGCTGGTGCTTTTGCTTGAAGATCCCTTTAAGGTTATTGTCCATCAATAATGGATGTGAAATATCTTAGTTTATAATTGCCCAATAGCGTGACCTTTTTGGTCCTCCATTCCTTTAGTTTTTTGATTAAAATACTTTAAAGAATTTGTAAATGAAATTTGCTTCTCACTGTATCTTGCTCTTTTCCTTATACTAGGACCTTTCAGTCATCATTATTACAGGAAAAAAATTGCTTATGTACTTCTCTCTAGATGTTAGGGATTCTTAGAGATAAATGGTAGTCCCTTGTCCTTTAGCAGAAACTATATTGTTGCTCCCAAGATCTTGCTAACTAGAACTTTGAAATGGCACTATTGAAGCAATATACACTAAAATATTCTGATAGTATTACTACCCATTTCTTGTGGGACTTCAGTTTCTGTAGGCATGGTAATTGGCTTGGTGATATTGTCATTCCTCAGTGTTTTATATAACATTGGGTCTTATCATATGCTACCTTCTTAAAACAATGTGCTAATGTCTCTTTCCCTCAGGTGACATTACTGGGATTGCCTGGGCTCCTCAATCAGTTCCAGTCGGTAAGAATCCTTTCTCCTACTTCATGTGTTTCATGATCTTCCTATCCTAATATCTACAAGTGCTTAGATTATGCTTATTGATGAAATCGATCTTGTCAGCTTGCAAAGTAGGGCATTCAATTTTGCATAAAATTAGCAGCAGCTTTGATGCCCTGCTGTATCTTTCACCAATTGTATGTATCTGCAAGTCTAGAACCCGACAGCCTTGCATCTGGCTAGACCTCTTAGTTTGCACAGGCTTTGACAGTATAACTCAGTTTCTTGTTGAACTTGGTCATCAAAGCATGACATTAGTCCTTATATACCTCTGCATGTGTGCATGGGGTGCCAGTTTATCAGGTTGATCATTTACTTATTTGTTCATGATCTTTCATTGTTTTTGCATAAATTTTTCAGGTGGTGCACCTACCATGGTTTTAGCTACAGCTGGTGCTGACAAAAAGGTCAAACTATGGTTAGCTCCAGAAAGTAATCCTTCTCGATAAGGTTTACAAGCAAGTTTATTCAGGAGATTTCCAACCAGTTTTGCTGCTGATGCTGTTGAAATGGTTCAGAACTTTTGGCCAGCTTCATGATGACAATTTTAGAGATGACCAGCAGTGCACACAGAAAAAATATAGACAGAAAACATCTAAAATCTTGTGAGGAGATCTTATTGCTATCAGCCTGTGACTTGCGGTGTCAATTTTCTTTTCTTGTTTCAGATGTCGTGACATAGTTTAGTCGGTCAACAGGAGGTCTGCTAGCTTTTTTCTTCAATAAATTTTGAGTTTTCTTTTAAGTTTGTCGGTGCATGGAACACGCATGTTGATCTTGCTTGTATCCGCTATATATGTTTCATGTTGAGGTTCTAGTTTGGTTAATTCTCAGCTAGCAACTAGTTGGACTTGATTCATTGATTAATAATGTTCTATGATGGTTTAGGTGTTGCCACAGAGAAGGGAACGGAGCTGTAGTGTGTTTTCTCATCGAGGTTTCTCGCTTCGCATTAATCATACGTATCATAGACCCATTCATCTCTTAATGTGCTAGTACGATAGTTCCGTGGCATCCGCATGAAACATGCAGCTCTCTCTAGATATAGTTTGTAGTTTGTACTGGTTTAAACGAGCTGACGCAATTTGTTCTTGCAATGATACAACCAGGTGAGGAGGGGATGAAACATGATGCTGAAGAATTTCTCAGGTAATTTCTCTTCTAATATACATGTTATCAACAAGAAGAAATAGCTACATGACATTACTTTGAATGCTTACAGAATTTATCCCTGTGCTACTTGCACAACGCATTCCCACGGATGCCGACACTCGAAGTGACACCGGAGGCAAGCATGTTTGGTTGGTTAGGTTGTGAAAGAGGGCGGTCGCGGTCCAGTTGGTTCACTAATAAAGGTGTAGGTTCTAGTATCTCCTCCTCGTTGTTGATGTGGGGTGCTAATATGACAAATCAACAAGAGAGGTGGTCCAGTTGGTTCACTAATAAAGGTGTAGGTTCTAGTATCTCCTCCTCGTTGTTGATGTGGGGTGCTAATATGACAAATCAACAAGAGAGGTTCGCTGGAGGGATGGTTCGTCGGAGGTGGTCTAGCCTTGGAACAAAGAGGTCGGGTAGAGGAGCAAGGGTCTCCCTTGCTGTAGGGTCATCTCCTGGCCATCGACAGTCTGCATAACAGATCTACGTTGGGGGCTTTCTGACTCAACCCCTTCGATGCTTAAGTCAACGCAAAACGGAGGGGGAGAAAGATAGTAGTATGAGCTGTGTAAATGAGAGAGTAGAGTGGCTATTGCCTACTTAGCCCCCAACTCGGCCTGGGGCATAGCTTTTATACTTGGGCGTCGAGTGATCTAATCATGCGTTAGCCTTAGGCCCCCTTACTCTGAACTGCGAAGGCCTTTATGAGGGTGGCTTGTTATTAGGCATTAATTTAGAAGTGTCTAGGGAAGTTGAGTCATACTGTCGTTAATGATCGTTGGTTCCTATGGCTTTATTGTTTGTTAGTCCATGTAGTGGATGGAGTTGGAGGGTGCCAATTTTATTCCTACAATTCGTCCTTCCCAAAGACGTGCTTCGAGGCTCCGCAAGGGAGTCTCGAAGTATGTCATTTTGCTTGTATTATTGACTACTTGCATGAGTATTGTTTTTGCTTAATTCTCTAGTGAGAATGTGGTGGTTGGTGTGAGGTCCATTGAGGCGGAGGACGCTCTGGGGCGTTTGTAGGAGTGATGAATATTGACCTAAGGTGTTCGGCTCGGCTGCTTCTAAGTGGGAGGATAGATCTGCTATGGGGCTTAGCTTAACCGCGTTTAAGCGAGAGGTTTGGACTTGTCATGGGGTTTGGCTCGACCGTTTTTAAGTGAGAGATAGACTCGTCATGGGGTTCGACTTGACTGCTTTTAAGCGGGAGGTTGGACCTATCATAGGGTTTGGCTCAACCACCATAGCTAGTTTTCTGGCCAAGGTGCACAACTTGGGTCTTTTGGCCAAGATGCATGGCTCGAGAGTGGGTTTGCTTGGCCGAGGTGCACGGCCTAGGAGCGGGTTTGCTTGGTCGAGGTACAGGCCTCGAGTTTTCTTGCTAAGGTGCACAGTTCGAGAGCGGATTTGCTCAACCGAGGTATAAGACTCGGGTTTTCTTACCAAGGTGTACGACTCAGGAGCAGGTTTGCTCGGTCGAGGTGCAAGCCTTGGATCTTCTTGTTGAGGTGCACGACTTGGGAGTAGGTTTGATTAGTTAAGGTGCAGGCCTCAAGTCTTCATACGAAGATGCATGGCTCGGGAGCTGATTTGCTCGACCAAAGTGTAGGCCTCGAGGACTATATTTACTATTCGTAAAAACTAACTTAAACTTCGGAGGGATCAAGCCAGAACTCTACTCTCCAACGTTGATCTATTGTGTAGAGAGACTCATGACCAGAAGCCCCTCGTGGATCTACAAAAACATATCTTCCTTTTTTTTTTTTTTAAAGCCTTCCTTCGAGTAACCAGATAAATTATACTATCATGATCGAATTAAACCGTGCGCTTCTGGAGTCACAACATCAAGAATCACAACACTGTCTTTGTCAATCCACAAGGTTGGTTATAGTTGATGAACCAGGGCCAAAGGCTAATTACTAGTCTGCAATCGCGCCGAGAAGATTACAGTCGTGGGTATCATAGTTTCTCATTACAGTTTGCTAGACCTAATTTTTGCTTTTAGGTAATCCTCATTAATTACATCGTTTGTGTAATGGACAGTATCTGAAAAATAGTAAGAGAATTGTCTTCCTGTTTGTTCTTGCGATGGATAGTATTGAAGTCACATCGTTTATGGTCCCCCGAGAAGCTCCACATTTTAACTATGAGGCACACGTTCTCATGCCTTACGACCGGTCTGCAGAGCCTGTCATTCTCGCCACTGGTGAGTTGTTCCATTGGACTAAGTTGGTGAGATGAGCTCCCAAAACATACTTTAATGGAGTAGCAGGCGGATCTTGGTGGGGGAAACCCAGACGGTGCAGGTGAGATCCTCTTCGAGTAAGAAAGCTAAGTAGAGAGCAAACAGGTTGAAACACCCCCCAACATTAGTACTAACATCAAGTTGTTTTCTTGTGTACAATGACTATACATATAAATAGTCACACCCTTTCTTCCACAATAGCTGGCAGCTGAAGTTTCCACCACCACCACCACCTACCTGTCAAATAGCCATCACAAGCCCCAATTCAAACCCTACCAACACCCTAAAAGCCCCCAACCTTTTCTCTCTTTTTCTTTGTGGGGCTGTTTCTACCAACCATTCTACTCTTTCTTCTCTTCTACATTCTCAGCTATCCCCTATCCACGACAATGGCAATTCAATGAGGGGGGCGCGGGTGATGTGGGGACCTATGATCTCCACTGTGGAGCAGCAATCTGATGTCCTTTCCTTCTCCGATGCCCCCATTTCTTTTGTGTGCAGACTCAGGTCCAGATCAGACATACTACGCGGCGAGAACACATGCAAACCCCCTACGTGCTATGGGCTCCCTGCTAAGAGCAGGATCTGATGAGGCCCAGGTTGTAGAGGTTCCTCTTCACTATGCTCCCAAGGTAGAACAGCCCAACCCCACCACCACCATTGGCTACTCTGTCCTCCTCGGTGGTGGGCCACTTCTGGTGGCACCACGGCCGTCGCTCCTCACTCAATTTTAGGCTCTCCACGCCGACACGTTCCGTGATAGCGTCGACCGTCCTCTGGTCGACGGCGTGGCCGGCCGTGTCGGCCACGTAGAACACGTCCATGGCAATTCCGGCCTTGGTGGTCACCTCCGCTCTCGTCACGGATAGCCCGTGCTCGCGGAACGTCTGCGTCACGTCCGCGAGCAGACCTCTTCGATCCGCTGTGCACAACTCCAGCATCGCTCCCTGCAGAAACAAGTATAACATGCGCAACATGAGCACCAATTCGGACAAACTTGCTTCACATTTGATCCTAAAAGAAACGTACTTCGCATGCTCTGCGATCAATGGCGGCTTGCAAGCACTGGATCACTCGCTGTCGCTCCGCTTCCGAACTGATCGGAGTTCCGTCCAAATGCCTTACGTAGAACTCCTGGATTGATCGATTCAAAGAAAGAAAGAGATGGTTTGAGCACAAAGATCGATACAAAATGGAGGCCTTGACGGAAAATTCTGACGGATTTTACCTGGCGAGCCCTGTCGCCGTCGGTGTCGATGATGCCGTGGAAGACGACGTACTCCATGTCCGTCAACGTGCATATCACGTCGAAAAGGAGCTTCGGCTGGTCGCGGCACTCGACGTTGACGATGGAGTACCCGCGGTTCACCCAGTTCTGCACCGAGACCACCGACCGCGCCGGCGTAGAGACGCCGGGGGTGGTCTGCTCGTAGTCGCGGTCGGCGAACATCAGCTGGTGCATCCGGCGGTCGGAATGGGCCGCCGAGGCGGACGACGACGCAACCGCGGTGGCGTTCCTCGCGCCGCGGACGGCGTGGTCGCCCCTGAGGACGTTCCCGAGTCGCGCCTCGACGCGACGGGCGCGGAGCGTGGCGTCGGCGTCGGCGTCGGTGGGCGAGTCGGGGCGGCCCTCCCTGACGGTGATGAGGGACGCGACGCGGCCGTTGTGGGTCCACACCTTGGCCGCCACCACGTCGCACTCGACGTCGCGGAGCACGGCGAAGACCTCGGAGAGGAGGCCCGGGCGGTCGGCGCCGGCGAGTTCGAGAGTCGTGAGGCCGTGGACTTCGAGGCCGGCAGGCTCCGTAAGGAGAGCGGGGGGCTGTGTGTCGTCACCGGGGCGGGAGGCGCACAGGGAGCGCTCGAGGTGGGAGGTAAGGGATCGGTCGGCGAGCTTGCGGCCACAGCGGTCGGTGACGTGGAAGACGTTCATGAACCAGCGGCCGTCGGAGGAGATGTAGGCCTTGCGGACGGCTAGGTCGAGGTCGGCGAGGACGCGCACGGCCTCCAACAGGATGCCGTGCTCCCGAGCGCTGTCCACCTTCACCAGCGTCGCTGTGGGGCACACGGCATTGTCCACCACCACTCTGCTCGCCACGGCAACAACCGCCAATCACACAGCGGAATTAAACCGGTAAAGGTGACCAACTCGGAAACACTAGGAACAGAGAACAGCGTCGAATTCGACACGAAGAACAAGACAAACCCAAGCAAAGGCAGGCAGCCAAAGAGGCCAACACTTACGGAAGGAAGAATTGAAGAAGACAACCACCAGATCAAGATGAAACAGAGCAAGAAGAACATATAGATCAACAGCGACAGAGAGAGGACTCGCCTGGGGGTGTTCATTCGGATGACCAACTTGTCATACTCGTCCAAAGACGCCGCTAACTCCTCCATCCTTCCTCCTCCCTGGATCGACTACAAACTCAACAACACACCACACAAGTCGGCACAAACTATGTATCTTATAATGCAAAGCGGGACCAAAGCAGGCGATATCAACAAGAAGAAACCTCGTAAGGAATCAGAGGCAAAGAAGTCGCCGGCCCGTTCCCCTCTCTCGGTATCCTCTGTTCCATGGGATGCCTCGTTACCATATATCGGAACTCGGTCCCAAGATGTCTTGTCCCCAGAGAGAGGGAGAGGAGCCATCAAAAGGGCTTGTGCGTCGGGCTCGGGACTCCTCGACCTACTCGCCAAATCCAAACCCGACCGGGCCAACTAACCACCTTCCGGCGCATCTGACCCTCTTCCCTCCCGCTCACAACATACGCACGTGGGCGGGTGGGCCCAACAACCCTTTCCTTCCGCCGCACGCTATAATTATGCCCACCTTCCTCCTTCATTAACTAACTAACTAAACCACCTGTTCTTCTCGTCCTCCGCGGCCGCTGCCGATGCCATTGCCGCCCGCCGTCCTTCCCCCACCTTCGAGTCGCTCTCTCTGTTTAACAAGCTTTAATGGTCGTGATGATCAGGATGATGATGAGAGGAGCTCCTGCGATGCCGCCACGCGTCCCTTGGCGGACAATTAATGGCGTCTTGTGGAGGACCAAACCCATGCCGCGTTACACGGCGTGGGATGGACGGTTGATGGACCGGTGCCCGTAACGTACGGCTCTGACGACGCGACGCGTCGCGGCGTGGCTCGGCCTCCAAAGGCACAAACCACGTGTCGACCAGGGGGCGCTGCCGTCATGTGGCGCCGTCAGAGATGTAAGATCGATTCATTAGAAGAACTTAAGATAATTGGGTTGATCTCTCCGCAGGTGACACGACTGCATCGAACTCAACCACACTTAATTCTCTTCATACTCCATTAAGAGCAGGCTGTGGGTAGCACCTTCGAAAGGAACCCATCAATGCCACCCTACCCGAAAGACAAGATCTCATCGATTGGGATCCCAACTCTGCATCGAATCCAATTAAAAGATACTTGAGAATCCTATTTATGTATTGAGTTTGAACTTTGACGATGAACACCATCCGATGTTGCTTAATCAACATCATGTGACCAAGTGAATGATTTCTTGGTCGTAGATACATTCCATCGAACATGTTGTCTCCATCCCAAAGACAGGACGGAGCAACCATGATGGAAATGGGAAGATGGCAGAAAACAATAGCAACAAAAGTGCGCAGACCTTTGGATGCTGTAAATCTTCATGAGATGTACTGACAGGGGATTCAGAGATGATGCTGCAGCTGTAGCTGCAGCGAAGCTAGCTAGACGATATAAACCAAACGAATCGAGAGAGGAGAAGCCAAAAACCTGGACATGAGGATGAGAGCGTGGAAGCTTCGGAGATGTTGCAGCAGCTTTATACATTGCTTCGTCGGGTTCTCCAATTGAGAATGATTGGCTGCTGCTCCTCATTTGACAGGAAATAACCAGGAAACATGCAGTCGATCAACAGCTGCACACAAGGACAAGATTTTTCAATTCAATTCATAATATAAGTTGCATCTTTAACAAGGGATGACAATCCAACATACATCGAGTACCAGTTCTTTAGAGTTTGGTCCATAAGATACAGGATACATTGCATAATTCCCCTAAAAAAGAAAAAGAAAGGGCTATGAAAACAATCAAGTCATACTTTGGTCCCTATGTTTGCTTCAGCAACAACAACCATTTGATGATGAGCAAAGATACTGCAGTGATCTGAAAATAAACCGAAACCAGCACCACCAGCTGATGATGCCTCTTTTGATTTTTTTGGAGGGGATAAGTAAGCAATTACCCGAGAGAGAGCTGCATCAATTCCTACCTTGTCATGCACTCTTTTATGTGGGGCCTTCGTTTTCTTTTACCTTTTCATGTGTCATTCATTGGAGCATGGTCAGATATACCTTCCCACTAAACACACCTTTTTTCCATTTGCAAGAGATAGTGCCTATTTGTGGCAGCTCTCACTCCTTGGGAGATCTTATTGGCATCAAACTTCATACTGTGATCTCGACCATGATTGTGATGTCACCTTCACCAACAAGTTGAATGATCTAACTTCACCTTGCCCGTCCTCAACAAGCTTTCTTAAAGCAACCTCATCACCACGAGCAAAGTTAGATATTGTACAATTGATAAGGCTTTCTTGAAGAATCTTATCACTCACTACGAGTAATTTTCGATATAGTACAATTGACAGATAAGAAAAAGATATAATGAGCACATAACCATATGTGGCCAACTGGCCGATCCGATCATCGTATCTCACATTATATAGGATCAATCGATTAGTCAAATCAGACCAAACCTAAAAGGATATTGATTAGCAAGCATCATTCTATCGACACCTCTATGCATAAAAAGCTTGGCCGCACCTGTAGAAGCTTTTCCGATTCCTTGCATTTTATTGCCCCATGAACTGGTCTCACCAGTCAAGCCACCGGTGCAAGAGTTGCAACTTTACAACTTACTCCGCCCATTTATATAACCTGCCATGAGACAGACAATTATCGTTTTATCAGAGTCATAGTCAAGGCAGACAAAATCCAATTGAGCATGTACAGTATAAACTTAATATCTGACACAAAATTCAAATCCTTGTTTCGAAAATCAATTCATTTTGAGAAGGGTTCCTACAGACTTTACTCCAAATCAATGCATCTAGTCCTAAGCCTCACTTTGTTGAGCCAGTACAGCACATGACAAAAAAATCTCAAGTAAATTACTCAAACAGTAATTTAACCTTAACTTGAGACATCCAAGAATGCTTCACGAATAACTTTTGTCCTTCCCAGCATTAGGGGAGATCTATGCCGGGTTCCTGCAGACTCTACTCCAGATCAATGCATCTAGTCCTCAGCTTCACTCCGTTGAGTCTGTACAGCACATGACCGTGAAATCTAAATAAGTAAAAATTATTTGAACTGTAATTTAACCATATCCTTGGATATCCAAGAATGCCTCGCAAATAGTTGTCCTTCCCAGCATTAGGTGATGCTCGTCAGCCAGACTAAAATTGCCAAGAACCAATGAAATAAAATAATAATCAGAAGCCTCACAAAGGTAACCCATGAAAAAAGAAATGGTTGCAGTTCCGAACCAGCTTTTGCATGTTCAGTAACTAAGTACCGCTTATAATCGCAAAATCCTTGACCCCGTTCCACAATGAAAACCAAGTGAAATATCCATTATGAAAAGTGAAATTAATGAAAATTTTCAACAAATAGCAGAGAAGCCATATACTGCAAACTAATACATCCCAAGCTCATAAAATGTCCTACATAAAGGGGGAAGGTACTTCAACCAATCTTTCACGAAGGACCACACAAACCCTCATACACCAAACCAACATGTACAAGTTATACTAACAAAGCTCACAAATATGTGCATGACCCACACAAGCATCACTCTTTGTGAAACAGAACAGTAATAGGATTCACCTTCAAAGGATAGTCTCCAATAATTTTGTAGAATGGAAAGAGCATCATTCTTGCTGCCAGATTAGGTCATGTTCTGCTGTGGCCCTGGGGCAGTAACCTTGAACAATTTATTCAAACCTCCCATATGCTGCTATTGTAGAAGAAATTATACCACTACTACCTATCATTTACAAGCTTGAGACAAAAAAAGGCAAAATCATTATCTTCATTGGACACTTCTTAACACAATTTACCTAATAAGTGGAAGCCCCTTCCAGATCCACAAGGGAGAAAAATATTCTATGTGAGTAATAGAGTTCAAAAAACTGAAATCTGACCACCAGAAAACAAGCATCCAGACACAATGGCATTAGTTCTTAACTGAAACCCACCAGCAAGGTTTGAATTTTATCATGTGTTGCTTACAGGAAAACCAGTGAAACCAAGGCTCCCTTCTAAGGATAGCAGGTCCCATTCCATGAGATGGACCTAATGATATTTGTTGTTGCATATGATACAACCAAGTCAGTCACAATTCTCAATGTTATCCAGCGGAATTATTATTAGTCAATAATAATAAACATAATCAATAAATGGGAAAGCCATCTGCTGAAGATCTGCAAGTGAAATGTTGATTAAGTTGTTAACTGCTATTATAAGGCACTGTATTTTTCAATACATTATCGAGATTTCTTCCTTCTAATATGGGGGGAACCTAAAATCACATACAGATCGTAGGGCATTTAGCAGCATCAGATATAAAATAAAATATGATAGGGTTCTCACATAAATCTTCATAAAGTCATGGAATAACGGTGTAGGCATTGCAGAGGATTATTGTAAAACACCTACCTGCTTTGATATCAGTTTAAAGGATATGTCCCTGCTATTAAGGGACACTTATATGAAAAGTAGAATTGGCCGCTCAAATGTATAAGAAAAACAGAGAGTTCAGTTATTAAACTATCATAAATCTATTGCAATAATAAAATAATCAATACCAAGATGTAGCCCTTAAGGGCTTACAATATTCCATATACATTGTAAAATAAGATAACTTTGGATCATATAAAGACACCAATAAAATTCTCTTAACATGAACCATTTATAAACTCTCCCATTGGTATCCATAACAAAAACATAATTCAAAAATAAGTATACAACCTAAGGTATGACTCTAAACTCCATCTAAAATAGTGACTGTATATATGAATGACCATACATCCAAACATAAAAGAAAAACAAACAAACAGCCCTTGCCTGGGGCTAGAAGGGAGGGTTTTGGGATAGTTTAGTCTCCCGCCACTAAATTAACACCATGTTGTTATATCTGCATAAATATCAATAATGTTAATCAATAATTTATAATAGGCACATTCAGCCTCATAACTGGCTCATTGAGATAATTCTAACCATAATTACCAAACCTGCACTGGACATCGGACCAACCTAACCTCAAGTCACCAGTTCACTGGTTGGACCAGTGGATCTAGCAATAAAATATGTTTGTATAAAAAATAATAAAATATTTATTTTATAACAAAAATATAGTTGTGAAGTGCCTCTTTGTTATAGAATGAATTTGATTAATCTGGTTATTAAAAAATAGAAATATCAACTCCAATAAGCTGGACACTAAAAGGCAGGTCAGGCTGTCAGCAACAGCGTGAAGTTAGGTGATAAGAGAAGAAAAAAGAATGATAGAAAGCGAGTGGCATCAGAAAGTACAAAAGCAAAAGAGAGAGAAATTGAAGCAATAAGAGAGACAAATGAAGGGCGAAAGCTAAAGAATAGGGATGACAATAAAAGAGAAAAAATAACAAGAGAGGATGGTAATAAGGAGAGAAGAGAGGATGATAGAAGGGGCAATTAAAAAGAGAGGTCTGGTTTGTGTATATTAAAGTTGACCCGTATGGGTTGTTCTGTAAACTCAACTTTACAAGGTGCTCCTCAGGAACATCATGTCCTCAATTTGTTTGCAATGTGTACTTATGTTGTTCTTAACTGCCAGTAGGTGCAAACTTAGCCATTTATGCAATCATATATTTTCTGTTTGTTCGGCATCACACCGGACATATTTGACCAAATCAAAGCTTAAAGTAGATGCATTAGATAGTGTACTCATCTCAATATAAATAATTAGCATTCGTCAAACATACTTCAACTATAAGCCAATTTTAAGTTATAATAATCATTAGCCCTATGTGTTTGTAACAGATGGATTCAGTATATATACTCAAACTCAAGTTTCAAGGTATATCTTATTTTAAGACAACATTGTTTGTTATTGAGAGGCTGAGATAATATAAGAGATAAAATCTTATTAAAGATACAAGGAGACAAACTTTAGAACACTTTACAATAAATCAGACCAAGACCAAATATATTAAAACAACTGGCACCATGATCATAGGAAAAGATGGTGCAATCAAGGTAGATAAACTCAAATTTTCAACAGAAATCTTGCATCCTCTTGTCAATCAACAACATAATGAGATCAAAGAAGATACTGCTGAATTAAATCTGGTAGTTAAAATTAAATGGTACATCGGAAGTGTGATGTCACCATGCTGCTAACTATTGCTTCACAAATTGGAAGAAATTATTCAAAAGACAGAAACAAGATCAATTATGTTTTGATTGAACAAAGTGTTGGGCAACCGGAAACATATATGGAAAGATAGTGTAACAAAAATAAGCTGTCAACGTGGATATCGAATTACAGATAAAAGTAACATTCATTTTTAAAAAAGTGAAGATTGTAAAATGTAGCCTGGACGCGCCAAAAGAAAGCAAAAAATGCTCAGCAAAGCTAACTAATTCAATTTAGAAGACTAATGCCAAGGTAGACGAAGCCTAAAAAGTGTAGGTTAGAAGTTGTACAAAAAAAAATGATGCCTTTTGAGTTATTTTGTACCATAAGCTTACATAAAGCTCCTTGGTCGGGAAAATTTTTTGTGGAAAAATATTTTTTGCTTGTTATCATGTTCCTTTTTTTAATGGACTTTGAAATATATTGTTATTGTTCTCATTGTAGAGTTTGCAATCTTTAGCCCATAACAAGAGAACAAGTCTTCATGAATAGGAAGAATACTAAACTGACATTCTGGATGATTTATAAATTAAGTATAATGTTTTCTCCTTTTCTATGGTGGATTCCACAACTTCAATCCTGTTAGAATCATTTCATGTTCAGACTTCATGGGTCCAACTTGACACAAGCCAACGTGTTACAAGACCCAATCTTAGTGTTAAGTTTTACAAATGAAATGAAAAACGCATCATATTTAAGCAAGTTAAGAAACATTGCATGAATGCAATAAGATAAACAGACATGACATCAGTACCTAACAAAGTGCTTACTGCTATGCTACGTGGTATCCCATCATTCAAGAGACAATACCAATTGAACTTTCTGGTCTGTACAAGCTTCGAGGGCACAATGAAACCAACACAAAGAAACACTAACTATGAATCTGAGCAGGCCAAGTTTTCTAAAGGCATAATCAAACCAATATAAAAGGCATGATGCAAGCAAGGATTGTGTTTGTTGGCATGAGTCAGCACATGTTGTGCCAAAAGGATATTAGCATGTCTATGTTGAATTACAACTGAGTGCTGACACAAGGCTAAGCAAATTTTTTGGAAAAAGTTGGCTGATATATAAGCATACATATACAACCAGCAAAGATCAGTACTGAGCTACGTCAGAAAGGTGTTGCTGTCATTGTGCTAAAAGGGTATTGACATCATACCATGCAAAAAAGGTATCAGCATGCCCATATGCCATGATATGACAATTCTTGGATACAACTAGCAGAGGAAAGTGTGAAACTAAAGAGATAAATCTGGGTAACAAATATGACCTCGAGATTGATCTCAATAAGGTGATGTGCACAGCATGGATAATGCATGCAATCATGTGTATCATAATTGGCCCGTAGCTGTGGCACATGACTCGACATGCCTGCATTGGTTGCCATTGCACACAGCACCGTGATCCTAGCTCACAAAAATATAAGATAAAGATCAGAAGAAAGTACCCGAAATTGATGGATCCTACTGCTTTTTGAATTGTACAAGACAACGTATAGAGAAGTACCATGGAAGTTCAACTAAACAGAAGCCTGCAACATCAGAAAACAAATTGATACGAATTAGGGCATCGTAGAAGAATCTGCCACACAACAAGTGGCTGAGTTTTTTTAAAAACACACATGACAACGGGAAAAATATAAAAATGTGAATGACAGAATATTTGATGAAAGAATCAAAGGAGCATCCTAGTTACCTTTAGAATTGTATTCCAAAAATCACTATTACAGGTTGTCCGAATGCTTAGATAAAGCAACCAGTAGATGTCCACAACATTTAGGACCACAAACTAAACCAATTGCCACACTTATCTACATTACTAAGATTTCGCTGAAAACCATGCAGTCAAGAGATTGATATTATGACAATCAAATGCCATTCTGGACTTGTTATGATAGTAATTTGGATATGACATAAAGCATCTAGTGCCAATCAACCATTCTTAGATATATACATAAGAGGAAAAAGAAACAACTCGAAAGATAAATGATAGGCAAATGGTCCATCATGGAACACTACAGAAGTTAGACCACTAAGAATGTTTTAACTGATAAAGGCGACCTGTGTATTTGATGAACAAGGAAACTGCAGGGAATATCCACCTAAAACTTACTCCTAATAGTAAAATGGTGGTCCCCAACTTTCCTTTAGTATACAGAATTTACAAGTCCTTTCCTTCCATCTCTGATTAAGGGAAAAACAAGCAAACCGTCGCTTCACACAATTCCTCCATGCCTAAAACCACCCTCTCAGGAATCTCTACTCGGATCCAAGCCACCTGGTGAATCATACCACTTGGCGCTGTCGGCATAAAAACCATCCACCACCTGCATCGTTACAGGACTTGGATCACTCAAGGGTTTTATCAGCTTGGAGTCCTCGTCTTCGCCACAATTGAGAATGATCTTCTCATCAAAATCACTGCAGTCTTCCTTCAA